TCCCCCAATCGAAGGTTTTGTTCGCATTCCCCCGGCTCCTCCTGTCGAAAGGGTATCCTTGAAGCAACGCATACTGAACCCCAAATTACTCCTGATGCCATAGCATCAGGTGTTTAGTTTCTGTTTCGATGGACTTGCCATCGCTGTGTGGGAATGTGTGTGGCAAAGGGTGAATGTGGCACGTAGTGTAAAAGTGCTTTTGGAGTGGTCGGAAGACTAGAAAGCTATACAAGTACAGCGTCCATTTACCATTTACCATTTACAGTAAGCTGTTATGTTCTTTCTAACCACCTATACTTTGACCCTTTCCCAGGTGGGTTGAGCTTTGCCAGCTGAAGCTTTGACCGGGCTCCTACCAACGGATGGGTGGTGTGTGCTGGTGGTTGCTCCATTGCCCAGTCCATCCCTGCTTGCCCATGTTCCTTCTGGGCTTCGTTGACCGCCTATCGGCTGACATCCGCATGTGGTGTGGGAGAAGTGTGCGGTGCCATCATGTCCAATTGATGACCGTGGACGAGCGGTAAGCCATGCCAGGTGTCTTCCTCCTGTCCTGCCTCCTTTCCTTTTCTTCTTCACCTGATGATGTATATATTTAGATGATGATTCCTATTTCCTAAGGACAGCTCAGGGTTGGACTAGTGAAAACTCTAAATAGTAGAGTTTATCCAGTAAATGCTCTCTTGTCGGACCTGCACAAACTGAATTGGCAAAAGTGGTTTATAAAGATAATTTTGGCATATTTTTGCTTGTATGAAGTCTCAAAATCCAAGTGGACAGTTAAACTTATTTGGCCAGGGACTCTCCTGAATTCAGGATTTGCAGAGACGTCGATGTGTTGAAAAGTGTTCTGGACTGTCTTGGCAATAGCGAATTACACGACAACTGGTGCTTTATCAACCGAATTGTTTTGTCTCTTTAGCCCAGGGAGTAGTTACTTGGCGGAAATTGGAGGGCAGCAATTATTCCAGGAAGGGGGACAGGGAGGCTTAGGTATCAAGCTAAAGAAACCTTTAGTTTATAGTCTGATGTTTAATAGGGGATCTCTGACTATAGTCCTTGAGACTCAGTATGGGGTGTCACCTTCTGTGATTTACAATCCTCAGAAATAAAATGTCATTTGCATTGCTACAGAATGGAGGATGTGCTATAATTCACAATACCAATCCAATCTGAGAATCCAGTGTTCATGATTATAAACATGAAAAAAGGTAACCTCATAAAATCTTAAGACTCCTTATAAGCCAGTAACATCAAGGATTTGAAAGAAAATGCAAAATTTGCTAAATTTTCAGAGTGTGTAAAGAAGAACTTGATTCATTCTGAACTAACATGAGGAGGAAAAACTGACAAGGTGTGCAAACAAAATCAGTACAGAAAGTAAATTTCGGGCGCCCAGTTCCTCGAGGAAGACACAAAACAACCCTACTACATTCAATTACTAGTAGCAGCCAATGCTACACACAAACAATTCCACTTAAACGACAAATTGATGTCCTATCACACAAGTCGGCAACAAGCAAGCTATCACAGAATGAGAAAGCTGCCCCGAGAGCAGCCGCAAGCCTCATCTTGAAGACGTCTTGCTGGCCAGTTCTCGCATTATGGACTGGAGTGTCCGCTCCATTCGGCAACCAGCCAAAATAGCGGCTGGCAGTGGATCAGACCAGTCTTCAGCGAGCGATCCACACAAGCCTTGATTGCAGTCATACCCTACAAACAGGACAGTTGATCACACCATCAAACGGCAGTGGCCGGTGAACAGTGTGGACGTTAGGCTAAAATGGGGAAATGGGTCATGTTTGGTGCCAGTTAAAAGACGTGCAAGCCAGCATTCTGTACCACTGAAGACGGTGAGAGACCCACTAACCCAAGCAACAGTGCATTACAGTAATCCGCCGATGGTAACAAAGGCGTGGATTACCGTCTCAAAGTGCCTGCCTGACAATGTTTATTTGCCAGCTGCCTCAAATGGCAAAAAGCATGATTTGTGACAACAGCATTGATCTACTGTCAAAATTACGCTCGCAGGTCCACTTAACCGCCCTAGGTTTGTGATGCTAGGTTTAATATACTGGGCCAAGGAACCCAGATCTACAGCATAGGGAGGAGGGAAGTCATCAGTCCTGCATGAAACAAAAAGTCAACAATTACTTATTTTAAGTTACATAACATAAGGTAACTTGTCGAACGTATTTTACTAACGCAAGTGAACGCCTTCACAGTGTTAACCATATGTTAAAAAGGTGTCTCATAGAGGTGCTAAAGGGTTTTTTGCTGGACCACCTTGGTATGGCGGCTTCTGTATGGTACAAGAATGTAACATTTCATGGATTGGATGAAAAGTTGCAGGTGACCATAAACCAAACAGCAATTATCTTTCCTCCAAAACATATTAGACAATTCTTTGGAGTCAAGCACTCCAAATTTTCACTGCAATACATTACTGACATCAGCACAAGCATGTCTCGAGTCTCTGGAAGTTCATTGAACAAAAAGGAATGGCACCAATAGCTGCCTGTAAGGAAGAAAGACTAGAAAATAATTCTAGACAAGGAAACCGAAAACAGTTCCAGGTTTTAGGATTCATTCTTGTAGCACTCTGTACTGAACAAATTCAAAAAGAGGAATTGTTTGTACAAAACACATTATCTTTGCTTTTGTATTCAAGCTTTAGATCATCCCTGACCATTAGCAAAATGAAGATAATTCATAAATATAATACTACAGATTGAACCTAAGCCATACCAATGTCCTGCTCAAAGATGGTAGCTCACCGTTACACGCAACAAACAAAATGTCATTCATCATGAAGGAAAATTCCTTTGTGGAGGCTTTTGTTGCTCACAGCATGTCTTTTGTATTGTGGTTATTACTTTCTGGTGGATTTCAGTGCTTGATGTGTAGATGGTGTGTGGATTTGGTGCAGAGCAGGTGTGGAGCGGAGAGCTGTGGTTTGGGCCGTTAGGTGCACTGCTGGACTGGATGATTGTATAAATGGAGGAGAGAGGAGCTAGAGGAGACACTTTTATGGCTGGCCAACCATAAATAGCAGTATCACAGAGATACACACACACACACACACACACATATATATATATATACAACACTAGCACACACTGACTTCCATCATGTGTGCTTAAATTTCCCCACATGCAATTCCTATAATTGGTGATGGAAGCAGCTGAGATGGCACACAGTTTTTTTATGGGTGAGCATTGCAAAATGCTAATGCTTAATGTCACAGATTAGTCTCAGTGACAACAGGAGCAACAAGATAATAGAATTAGAATTTTAACCAAACTATCTGGTTTTGTTTTGCACAGAATCATAAGCATGAGATCAGCCCGCTCTATAGACAGCCCAGCAACCAGGAGTGCGCACAAACAATGACTGGCACAATGCTTTTGTTCATGTATTAACAGCTTTTTTAGGCTTCACTAACAAACTGCAATCAGTCCATTTTAATGATGCACATTCATACATACACACACACACATGCAAAAATGTTACAACCTTGTCCCATCAAGCAAATTACATGCCTCTCTGTTCACCCCCAGAGGTCATTCAACCTCATGGCCTGTTGGGCAACAAGCTGTTCAGCTAATCAGTGGAGAGCCTCCTCTCTCTAGGGAGGGACATATGGTGAACAGCACTGTGACATCATAACAAATAACCTCTGTGACATCACAAAAGAGGCTTTGCAGTGGTGCCATAAATCTCTTTGTGACCACATCTGTCTCCACCATGGAGGTCTACTGCCACACTGGCTGTGGGGTCTATATACAGTATAGAATAGTAGTATATAGAAGAATGTGTGCATGGTGGTCATTTTAAAGGTCCAGTGTGTTTTCTTAAATGATTGATTGATTGATTAATTGATTATTACATTACAAGAGTAGATGTAAAGTGTGTAAGAAACTACGGTGGCCACGAAGCTCATAAAAAACATGGCACTTGAAAACGGCGGCTGTGGTTCAGAAGCAGAGCGGGTCGTCCCCTAATCAGAAGGTTGTTGGTTCGATCCCCATCTCCTCCTGCCACATGTCGAAGTATCCTTGAGCTGAACCCAAAATTGCTCCTGATGCTGTGCTTCGCTGAGTGAATGTGTATGAAAGGGTGAATGTGGCACGTATTGTAAAAGCGCTTTGAGTGGTCGGAAGACTAGAAAGCTATACAAGTACAGGTCCATTTACCATTTACCATTTACAGTAGCTGCTTATGTTCTTTCTAACCATATACTGACCCTTCCCAGGTGGTGAGCTTTGCCAGCTTGAAGTTTGACCGCTCCTACAACTGGATGGTGTTGTGTGTGCTGTGGTGCTCCATTGCCCAGTCCATCCTGCTGCCCATGTTCCTCTGGGCTTGTGACCGCTATCGGGCTGACATCCGCATGGTGTGGGAGAAGTGCGTTGCCATCATGTCCAATGATGACGTGGACGAGGGTAAGCCAATGCCAGGTGTCTTCCTCCTGTCCTGCCTCCTTTTCCTTTTCTTCTTCACCTGATGATGTATATATAGATGATGATTCCTATTTCCTAAGACAGCTCAGGGTGGACTAGTGAAAACTCTAAATAGTAGAGTTTATCCAGTTAAATGCTCTCTTGGGACCTGCACAAACTGAATTGGCAAAAGTGGTTATAAAGATAATTTGGCATATTTTTGCTTTGTATAAGTCTACAAAATCCAAGTGACAGTTAAATATTTGGCAGGACTCTCTGAATTCAGGATTTGAGAGAGTCGATTGTGTTGAAAAGTGTTCTGGACTGTCTTTGGCAATAGGAATTACAGCGACAACTGTGCTTTATCAACCTGAATTGTTTTGTCTCTTAGCCCAGGGAGTAGTTGTACTGGGGAAATTGAGGGCAGCAATATTGCAGGAAGGGGACAGAGGTTAGTATCAAGCTAAAGAAACCTTTAGTTTATAGTCTGATGTTTAATAGGGATCTCTGACTATAGTCCTTGAGACTCAGTATGGTGTCACCTCTGTGATTTACAATCCTCAGAAATAAATGTATTTGCATTGTACAGATGAGATGTGCTATAATTCACAATACCAATCCAATCTGAGAATCCAGTGTTCATGATTATAAACATGAAAAAGTAACCTCATAAAATCTTTAGACCTCCTTATAAGCCAGTTAACATCAAGGATTTGAAGAAAATGCAAAATTTGCTAAATGTTTTCAGAGTGTGTAAAGAGAACTGATTCAGTTAAATCACAGGATGTGAATTTAAGAACATTGTACATTATTGTTCTTTAGACAACTGAGAAGTGGTTTTAGGGAGTTTCTATGAATGTTTTGACCCAATTTCTTGTCACCAGCCACCTTTCCAGTCTACAGAGGGTCAGCATTTTATTCCTTAGTATCACTTGTGAAAGTGACAGGCGTGTCTTGTGACAGTTGACTCGGTAACTGTTAGATAGTATTCTCAAGAATCACAGGTTTATTATAAGTCTTATCCCCACATGAAATGTGAAACTTGCTCCGTCAAGAGGTATTAGAAATTGAAGGAAGTTAATATATTCCTGGTTTCTACCTCCAGGATGCAGGTTTAAATTGCTCGTTGCCTCTGGAAGACCCATGACTACTGCAGCTTCACATCCTCACCCTCTGTGACTGCTTTGCTTGGTATCCTAAATATTAAACTATGCAATTACAGTTTTTAGCTGCCATCTATTTTCAGTCAATCCATAAATTAAACAAGACATTAGAAATAGTGATGCTACTTAATTATTGTTACAGAAACATTTTAAACATTTTATCCCCAATCATTGATCTGAACTGGCTTTGAGGTATGGTACAGGATGACCCTAATATATTGTATTCCTAGAAAATTGCTACAAATTGGTCCATTGCAAAATATTGGAATTGGTCATCTTTAAAATGGCAAATCTTTTTGAAGTGATTGATTGAATGTATTTGCCCTTTTCTAGGGGAATATAGACCCCTTTCTAGCCTTATGTTTAGGCCAGGGCCATCAAAGATAATAATAAATAATCACATATAATAACAAAATCTATATGGGAATAGATCATTACCAAAATAACATTTTATTATATTTACACCCTAAGTGATGGGACATTTTATCATTTGGTTAAATGATTACAGAGTGGTTAAGACCTTTACAATGGCAATCATGGTTTTGGCTGTTTGTATATGTTTCTTAAATAAAGAATGGTACATATTATTTAGTTTCTTTTGAATGGTCATTACATTATATTTTGTTGTAGTTTAAAGTCTGAAATCAGTGGTCAAATGTTATCATGTGACCTATCATGTGACCTTTGTTGTCAGGAGATGAAACTGAAGTGACAAGTGTCTGTGTAACATAATTTTTTATACTAAAATATATTTTTCTGTGTTTTTGTACGTGGTGTGTACTATAAAATGCTTTACTTTACCATGCTATGAGATTGATGTCATTACAAAAAAAGGAAAAAAGAAAGAAATCTTGCTGGAGAAAGGACATATTTACCTTGCAGCACTTTTTTCTTTTTCACTCCAATGCATTTAAACTGGGCAATCTTCCTCTAGAATTCCCTGCCATGAGAGGATGATACAATAAAGGATCCAGAGTGAAGCTGGAACAATAGCAATAAAGCTGAAAAGCACTTTCATGTCATCATGATGGTCATATTTCCCTCAAGTCACAAAGGGATACACTCAACTGAAATAGATATAAAATGATTTTTTCATACATGTTTTTTGTTTATTTATTATTATTATTTATTTTGTTTTTTGTTTGTTGTTGTTTTTATTTATTTTTATTGTGATGTGGACTCCTACCTACTGGTCAGATTATGGTGACTTAAAGCAACAAAAAAATAACATATTTTAAGGCACAAGTCTTAATTAAACTGCACTAGGTAAAGATCTGACTAATAGATAAAAGAGAAGTGGTCCAAGACTTGCGTCTTTCATCACAGAAATATAAATGTATTCCAAGGGACTGAACATGAAACATTTCACCAAGGAATCACAGACACTTCAACAAAATTTGGTCCCAAAATTAGGTCACATGATAATCATAGAAAGGCTTGTGGAATGGGTCCGTGACCAGATTTCCACAATTCATGCAAACTGATGACAGTACGAACCATCTGTCTTTTTTTCTATTGGCACTGTTTAAACTCAACCCGATCTGAACCCCTTCTCTCCTGTTTCTAACCCTCCAAACCTTTTGATCCTCTCCCTCTTGACACCCTCCCTGATAACTGCTCGTTGTCCAGCAGGAGCCATAAAACAACACAAGGCAGTCCATATTCTGTGTGATAATTAACACTGCCAGTTCTCTGCTTTTTTCCAGAGGGCTTGCCATGTATAACTCATCACAGTTGTATGTATAAGGACTGTTTCCTGTTTTTCCGAAGCTACTGACTTGCATGCCAAGCTGCCTGTGCAAATAGCTACTTTCATCTCTCATCTTTTTGGCCAACATTTTCCTCAAGATCAGCATTTTACACCCATCTCCAATTGATCTTTAATGAACATGAATGCAGTAATTGGGAAAATAAACTTGTTAGATGGGTATTTATACGCCAAGAACACTTGACATTGCTTGTATGATTTTATTGTTCAGAATGTAAGCCCTGTACCTTGAAAGATTCTTTATGCAACTGATTGGCGTAGTTTCTAAATTCAGAACCAATCTGAGGTTTTTTTAAATCCCTTTACAATAATTTCAATTGAATTATTGGTCATTTTTTTGTAGCAAAATATATATATATTTTTTATACTTAAACCTAATATTCTTGAGCAGACCCGTAGGAAAAGTCAACAAATCAGAGAACAATTGAACTTGTCTCTCTTATCTATTCGTCTGTCTGTCTGTCTGTCTTGTGTATTGAGTTCGTTGCTCTCTAATCCTGACGCTCGTGCTTTTCTGCACTTTGCAGAAAACAGCCAAGATGGAGGAATTCATGCCGACTTAATATATGACAGACCATATGACTATAGCTCGGCGCCTGAAATCGTGACGGTAGACCGTAATGCCAAGTATGAGTTCTCAACCTTAGAAAGGGGGGTTCCGCAAGGGTATCCATTGAGGGAACAACAGGAAGATAAAATGCAGTATTTGCAGGTATATTTTCATTGATTTTCTTCATTTCTTTTAATTGATCAGTTGAACTATTTTTAAATGACACTTCATTGCTGATGTGCATGATGAAATGGCCTTGTCGGCCTTTTACAGTATCTTGATTGAATTTTCTGGAATCATCAGACATTTTGTGAAGCTATCTCTCCCAGATATTTCACAGATTTTTATTTATTTTTTGTTGTCGTTTTTACCTTAATCAAAAATATACTCTTGCTGACTAATGTTTGGTAAATATGACCATCGGCAGTCCCATCAACATATTAGATGTGCATTTATCGACTAGTGTGTCCTAGCCATGCAACTGACAACATTTTTATTTTGTAAGAGGGTAAGAGTTTAGTAACTGACTTACCTTCTACATTTCAGGAATCCCTCAAGGTTTCAGGAAAGCACTTTAAATGTCTGCTCATGTTCTACCCAAAAGCATTGTGTCCATTGTATCCGGCATCCATCTCAGTCAGATGCAGAGCTGTGAAATGCTTCTTTTCAGCCTGCATTAACACCAAAACTTGTTCTAACATGCAGCCTTCTAGGGCAATTCAACAGAAGCTTTTTTTCTGTTTTGTTTCCAATACTGACTTAACTTAGTAAACTACAAATTCTGGTATATCAGATTGGATCAATATTAATGAAATGATTGATTAAATCAGTGATGATGATAATCATCTTGCTGGACTTGGCCTGGAAGACTGTGGTGAAGATATGTAACTTTAGAACCAACTGATGCAACCTACACAATGTTAACTTTTACAAAGCATCTTAACACTGTGTCATCTTTGTCAGAAACAACTAAACAAGGGCTTCAGTTTTCTCAGAACAGCCTGCAGACCAAGCAGTTTACATTTACTTGAATAATTTGCTTATTACTCCAAAAAAAAAAGAACCCAGATGTCCAACATTATAATGGACAAATGTTCCTACAGGATTGGATCTCTATTCAGTTCAACTTTTTGCGAAGCCTTGAAACAGAGATGTATACAGTAGCTATCACTTCATTAGACCGAACCATTACTCCATCCATTGTATTTGTGACCGATACACCTCTTCACATGACAGTAGATTCATTTGACTGCAAAAATAGTTGGCCGTGTTACTGTATTCCTCGCTGTATATGTGTGATCGTGAAACAACTAAGGTGCATTTTTAATTTCAGTTACAGGAAGACTGGCTGAACTGTGATACAGTCACATTATTGTGTTGCTGCTAGAAGGTTTAAGGCCCAATTAGACCATGAATCAACAAAACCCTTCAAATCATTATCAAGTAACACCTCCATTTGAGAATTGCTATGGCACTTCTCAAGTGGTTTGATTGCAGAATAAAGCCTCTTTGGCTTTATTGGCCTGTGTGTTTGTCTGTCTGTCTGTCTGTCGCTCTCTCGCTCTCTCTCTTTCTCTCATTCTGCCAAGTCTATCCTGCATCGTAATTCATTCTAATGCTTGTGCTGCCCTCTGCTGTCCAGCCCTCCCACATAACCCACTCAATGCTACTGTATCGTCTGCTGTCTCATTTCTCTGCATTTACTAAAACCCACCACAGGGGGGCAGACTGATATCAAACTTGTGGCTCTTGACGTCACCTTGACAAACCCTCTCTCTCTTGCATAGTTGTCAGAACAGAATGGAATGTGAGTATAACATATAGGGAACTATCCACTTTTTTCAGTTTTCATTTCCAACTAATGGAGGTGAATAATAGTTCAGTTATAACCCTGTTGATGTATATTAGGATGTTAAAAACAAATGCATACATGTCTGAGGAATTAATTAAAAGTTAAAATTACACTTAACATGTTTGACAGACAACTTATATGTGCGACATGTAGGATTTTACACAAACACTTCAGCTGAATCAGGATACTACAAATAGAAAGAATTCTGAAACTAAGATGTCTTCTCTATTGCGAATTTGCAGAAAAGTTTCAAAGTCATCAACCCAAATATTTACACAAAGCAATTCATTGGGACTACTGCAAATCAGTGTTATTACTAAAACTGCAGTGTAATATCACAGTGGCATTGACAGCCACATAAAGAATCCTACATGTGAAATAACTTATAATTGACAATGTAGGTGTACTAATGTTATATGACATGTTACTTACTTAATGTGCAGTGCTACAATTCTTACTGATTCTGTGCTGTTGTAGAATTGTTGAATTAAATTCAATGATACTGATAGACTGAAGGGTTTGGTCTGTGTGTTGCGTCCAGGTGCCCCCTACAAGAAGATACTCCCACGACGAAACCGACATGTGGACCAGCGACCGGATCCCCTCATACCTTCACCGATGGGGCTCCACCGAGGACATGATAGTGAGTGCCCACTACAGCTCCACCTTGCCGCGCCACGAGAGGCGCAGGAGCAGCCTGGTCTCCTACCACGAGGAGAGCCACCATCACCATCACCCTCACCGCAAGCGGCGACGCTCTGAGGATAGTATGCACTCCCTCAAGCACCTGCCACGCGTGGTGTGTGGCGGGGAGCACTATGAGGATGAACTGCGGTGTTTCAGCCGCGATGAGGTGATTAACTTTATAGATGAGACGCCGCTGCCAAGCCCCAGGAAGAGCCCGCGGCGCACATCCACCATCTCACTTATCCCCAACGTGTACGAACAGCACACAGTCATCCTTCCTCACTTCCCGCTCACAGACTTTGAGCGTGAGCCTCAGGCGCTCAGGCGTGTCTCAGAACACAAAAGGAGCAGTAGTCGGGGAAACTCACCCGAGGGTTCCCCCAAACCAGACAGACCTACTGGAAAGAAGAGTCCTGGGGCTTGTGGCTCTGGTAAAGGCTGCCGGGAGCGCCCAAGAGACGGGAAACAGCAGTGTGAAGTTGGCTCACCTGGGCGTAGCCAGCAGACTCCAGGGCACTCTAGGCCGAGGACAGGCGGTGGAGCTGGGGCTGGTGCTCGAGCTGACTGGGGGCATCAGAAGCACCTGAGCAAGGCCGAGAGTAAAGGAAGCACAAACAGTTTTGTAAGCACACCCTCGGTATCATCCTCGGGATACATCACCTTTCACTCTGATTCTGTGGGCTCCACGACCTAAAAAGCAAGCTTTCCCTTGTTAATATCAACATTATTACTAAAGTTATTATCATAATGAAAACCACTGGAGTATTGGTGGTTATGGGAAAGTGACATACTGGGTTATTTGGCCTTTTTACTTGTGACACTTTTCTGTTTTACTATATATACCACCAATATCTGTTATGCTAAATGGCCTTGAGAACTTTGGACATAATGTCTGAATGGGCCTAACGTTCATTTCGTATGTAGGCTGGTGAAAAGGTCGGGTGATTCTGCTTTCACATCACACAATATCCACACCACACTTTTTTCCAGCACAGGCACAAATAAACTGTTTTTAATGGCGTGAACATTCCCACACCTTGTTTTTGCTGTTTGATGTTGTTTCCTATGAAATGCTCAAAGAATTGGAGGAGGTAGTTATTTGGGTAGTGTTTATTTCTTTCTTTTTTTGCACTTAAGAACTTGAGCTTACATTGTATTTTATTTGGCCTGTAATGGCTGTGTGTTTTGTTGTATGGACACATTTGCTTTAAAACCAAACTTTCCTGAATACCGCCCATTTACCTTGAAATTGACTTAAGGATACAACACAATATACATATTTATTTTATTTTGATCATGATGTACAACTTTTCTATTAACAATATTATTAACAACACAAGAAAAACGTTTTTTCAAGCACCCATATATGTTTAAGTAAACTGAGAGTGGTAATCCCAAACTCTTTAATGCCTAATAGTTTTACAGTTACTGTGTGAGATATTGAGATATTACGTGAAGACCCCAACTACTTAATGAAAATGTGAAGACAGTTTTTAAAGATTGACATGTCATGTATATATGAAGGATACTGGATTTATGGTTTTGTTGTTTTTTGTTTTGTTTAATAAGACCTATGCTTAGAACATTTCCTCCCAATTCTTATTATTCCACTGTTTGTGTTGAGATCATCAGGCATCAACAGTTGCTCACGACATTGGATATTTACATACAGAACATCAGACCAATAGAGCTGGAAATAGCTTTATCCTCATCTTCTGAGCATGTCAGCCTGACCTCACCTCCTGTTTCAATAATGTGCTAGAAAGCACCAATAATGATTTTAGTAGAAGAAGTGGGAACCTTTAAAAGATGTCCAATGGTCCAAAAGCGGATATCACAGCAACATTTTTAGCATGAATTAAGAACATTGTGAATATAATTACAATTGATTATAATTGCAAATTAATAACTTCTAGAAAGTTATATGTTTCAACAAAAATCTGACATTATAATTAATATGTTATCTAATAACAGGCACAAAAACAGCTAATGGTGCTATTCTATGAGGTTTTTCAGGTGTGAAGAGACTTTATCTAAGCTCCATAAAGTAGCCTAATGGAAATTAAATATAAGCATTTGCAGAGCCCCAGTAATGGATCCTGGGGAAAAAAATAAAGTTTAGATGTTTATAATATATTTGGAGAGAATTTGATTATTTCACATCATAGCAAATTATAAAAGTTCAAAAATAGTATTATTATTATCAGTGAAATGCCCCATCATTTTGAGAAATTCTCAGTTAGCACACTCAAATGGACACTGGGGTGAACTTTACAATGAAGCTGACTTTACAAATCCCAATGTTAAATTAACAAAGAACTTGTGTGACAATGTGCTGACTAAAAAGAGTGAAAATGATTCTACTAACAAATACTAGCAGACCCAACTTTGGGCTTTAACCTCTCATGGACAATAGCTGCTAACATGAATGTATTTGCACTAATTAGGTTTAAGTTTTCAAAGAAATGATTAAGACTATAAGGACAATATGAAATGAAAATATCCCCTTTGACAGCCTTATTAGTTGTGAAACTTTTTTGTTATTCCCATCCAAGTAATAAAGTTGCGTATGTGTTTTCACTCATCTGCGGTCCTTTAAATGTTTAGTTTGAATTCTAATGTATTAGTGTACCTCTCACCATTGCAACCTATTCAAATGGAGGAATCAGCTGAAATGTATCTTTCTTTGGACCCATAACATCACACCCCCCTGTCACACTTTGCTATGTCATAGATTTTTGCATTTTGTGTTTACAATATTAAAATATAATTTTGTAACATATTCAAAGATTTATGACTCAAATATGAATGATGTTAAATGTTATGATTTTCTTGTTCAGATGATGACTTTGTTAAAAAGATATGACTGATTAAATTCACAAGATGACGCTTCAGAGTGTGTTTTTAGAATTTTAGAGCTCATCCTGATGGATATAATGAAATCCCAGAAGAAACATTTGAAATCATTTATACCCGTTTTGCTCTGCTATAAACACCAAACATCCCTCGAAACGTCTCTAGGTTTCTCTAACAGGTTGTGTTTTATGCCGGCACACAAGCCTGGGATAAAACGTGTAATAATGCGTGTAGCTAACTAAGTTAACTAAGTTAACTAAACTAAGTTAGAGTAAATTAGGTGTATAGGACTGCCTTTAAAGTGGATTAGTGCCATGTTGGTGTTGGGAGTGTGCTGGGCCTGTATCTATTACTATCTATTAGGTCAGTTGATATAAATCATCTGCTAGTGTGAAACATTTCCACCCGGACAGCATCTGCAATACATTTCCTCTGTCGTTCATAAGTTAATAGCTGGAAATATTTCAGGTCATGTCTTAACGTCAGAAACCTATTTATTTATTGGGGGTTAACAATTAAAGGCACAGCCAGCTCTTTACTGAGGAAGAGCTCATTAAACCGTGTTAAGTTAATACTCACTTACATGGTCTGTTTTTGAGTAACATTAGGCAACTTACTCGCAAAAACTATGTTAAAAATGATATTTCATTGGAGCGAAAAAAATAAATGTCACGTTTGAACTGGAGCACAGTGTTTTCTTCTGACGCAGGTGTGTGTAATGAGCTGGTGCCGCACTGCAGCACCTGGTTAAAGCTCTGTGGAGAGGTCGGAGCTGCCTGGTGCCCCAGCCGGTGGGCACGGCCCCTTTCTGCGTGCCAAAACGTAATTCCACGGTGTGCTGGAGGTCTAACTGGAAACCAAAGCCAGCACTATTGTATACGGTTCACGCTTTATTGTGAGGTCTTTGGGTGAGTTACATATTGTACGTTGTAATTGTGTAAGTGAATCTTGTCAAGCCTTCCTAGCATGGACGTATTTACCAGCGAAGTGAGCAGTGGACGGCGGGGTCTGCAGCGCACTTCATCCTCGTCTGCTCCCTTAAGAGCGCTTGACTGGGCCCAGTCTAATGCTAATAGCTGATTCTCTCCCTCCTTTCGCTGCTCAGCTCTAATATGCGTCGCTATTATAGTGGCAAACCCAACTAGGTTACTTAAACAATGCTGAGAAGAGTTCATAGAAATTCTTAGAAAAAGTTTAAGTTCATTCACTGTGGAAGTCACGTGGCATTTCCTTTCTTGGATAAAACAAACTTTTCTTGTGCCATGGGCCTCTGTTGGTCTCATCAAAAGAGTAGCTTTGACTTTGTGGGAAGAGAGTATTACTAAGATTTACAGACAGAGTTTGTAAGACAGAACAAAACGCTGGAATAATAAATACTTGCCATAACGGGGTTTGGAGCTGTGAGTTTAGTTGTTATATTGAGTAAGGTAAAAAACTTGAACCATGCGGTGTGTACTTTTTTGTCCTCTGCACTGCACCCCAGCACCCCTCTTCCATGGGACAGCAGCGTCTTTTCAGCATGTATACCATCTGAAAGAGCTGTGGGCGTTCCAGCAATTCTCCTCGCTGCAAGGTGCCATCCTTTTCCAGCTCTGCCCTTTAAGAATGGAGAGACACTTTATGACAGTTCTGCCAAAGCAGCGGAAGAAAACTATAGGACACTTTAAAAGAGCTGAATGATAGACAGGTTTACTGCCTTGCGCATATGGCCGACATAGTATAGAACTGCAATCACTGTTGTGCAATAAGTTGATGGGAACTGTATGTTATACAGTATTCCGAAGACAAAAAGAAACTTTAAGACGCACAGATACAGTAAATACCACTATTGGTCTTTACTGCTAAAATAGGTTATGTTTAATCCAACAAGTTTGTTTTGGTTTAGTTAAAAAACATAGGCATTAAACCTGCTTGCTTGCCTTAGATGCAAGTGAAGGCTAAATGAAGATTATAGTACATTTTATGAATTGTGGGGAGTATGCTCATAAACAGCCCAAGGGACCTCAGACTTATGTTACTTTTGGGTGCATTATGTGGGCATATAGGTGTAGAGTTTTTTTCAAATAACGTTTCAGAAAAGCTGTCAACAATTAAACTGACAGGAATTCAGGTTTCAAAGAAATTTAAACTGCACTGTTTCACAATTATTCTTTTCTAGAATTATTTTTATTTATTATAATTTGGTCCTGTCCAAGTCCAGAGGAGGCAGAGAAGAGATGATGCGTGTAATTAGTGGCTCATAGCAGAAAATTGTTGTGCTGTCCGACAAGCATCTGATTTTCCCGCTGCTGTTTCGGTACTTATCCGTGAAACCACAGAAGAATGCATGAAATGTCAGTCAACCCCCACTCTGGGTCTTTTTATGTCAACTCCACAAAGGTATTGGATATCTGTGAATAAATTCGATACAATGAAAAAAATAACAAACTGAGTTTAGAAACATAGCTCAGCCTAAGTGTTATATAATGCATTTAACACAATTTGATAGTTTTCAGTCCCATGCCCACACAACTTTTGTCGTTTGAGGTTTAAAAGGCCACTTATGTCACTTCCTTTCAGTCTGACAGATTCATCAGCAAATCAATCTAAAGCTTTTGATGCCTAATTCGGCGGTACCCACAATCAATCATGTTTTCAGCTCTGTTTTTACAAACATGACATCAACCATCCCTTGCTATAACCGCATGTTGTTTTAAACGACCCCTTTTCAAGGGGAATGTTGAAAGATTAAAATCTATTCCCAGTTCAATAACCAAGACAACACGTTCTTACTTTCGCAAATTTTATTAAGAAAATAAAACATATAGTATATAGGAAATAACATATTGTGAAAATCTATACAGTGAAATTTAAAACATTTGAACAAGCTATGAGCTATCTACAGCTTTCCATCAGCTCTACCAAGGTCGCCACACGTTGTGCTGAGTGTTTGCAACTTCATTCCTGTGACTGACAGAGTTAAACATTTTGTGACTTTTTTCATGAGTATTTTGTGTGGGCGACGCAACAATGATAGGATGTTTGTTTCTAGATGGCTGCCGTGCGTCTTCACTCGGTAAAGAAGGAGACGTGCTTGTGCTTTTGGGTTTCCGAGCTTTAGATATGGCCGTGTTTCTCTCCTCAGGTCCGGCTGCCGATGGGAGAAGTGTCCGCTCCTCATCCTGTGTCTCAGCTTTGCCCGTGCCGCTGTCCATGGTGCTGAAGAGTTCTGAGTTTCTGTGGCTGAGTTTAGTGGAAAGCTGCGATAACGTCCAGCGGTCGCTCCCGTTCAAGTTGTCTGCCATCAGCAGATATTGGTTGACGTTTGCCAGACAACCGCGGAAGCCAGTTTGAAAATCGGAAAACTCGGAAGCAGCGGCGCCTGAGAGCAATAATAAAAAAAAACATCTTAAGGTGAGAAACACGAATCTGTGCATACAGTTACAGTACATACACCCGATCTTGAAAACCATCTTAAATCAGGCGAGTATTCGAATGGGTTGGCTGTAAGAGTGAGGCTGTAACTTACAGCTCTGGATCTTTTGGAGGTTCCTTAGGTGTTTCACAGTGAGCTCCAAGATGTCGGCCTTTTCCAGTTTGCGCTTTCGAATCTGTGTAAAGAAATAACATTATTGAGACACTTTCTTCAAACAATGTTTTGCATTACTAATGAATGAAGTGCAGTAACTCTGGTCTGAAGTAAACATTAAAGTGCATACTTACACTAGTGCTGTAGAAGTTCTCCAGAAGAGATTTTAACTGGTCCAAACACTTGTTGATGCGAGCTCTTCGTTTCTTTTCCATGAGTGGTTTGGACACCTGCAAAAGGCGGGTAAAATTAACATTTCAGTCATCACATTTCAGTCATTTTAGGTTAGCCTATTTAATGTTCCACCCTTAAATCCCGTTCTTCATAATAAGTTATGCTACACACCTTGCTTCCAGCGATGGGTTTGGACTTTTCTGCGCTGTCTGTCGTAGCCACCATTCTGTTTTTCTGGTTTCCTTGAAGTTAATCTCTTTCCCTCTCTCGGGCACGAATGAAGGAGTTGACCCTGAGTGGATTTATATAGAGACACCCACTTAACATCTCAATGCAAACAGTCCCGCCTGTCTCTTGCGCTCAAATGAGCAACAGTGGCGTCATTTGACAGCCAAAACCAGCCAAAGGCTTAGAAATAGAAAAGTGAATAATTGTATGCCGTTTGAACTTATATTTTAAATTGTTGAATGTTTTGTCACTTCTGTCCGTCCTTGTTTTTTTTGAGAACCCACTACACCTGTTTTTTTCTGAAAAACCATCATTCCCTTCTCTTAACGTTAACCTATCTATCTATCTATCTATCTATCTATCTATCTATCTATCTATCTATCTATCTATCTATCTATCTATCTATCTATGCACAGACCACAAATCAGGATAGCTACAGTGCATAGCCTACTGCCTGATGGATATATAAGGCAAGCCAAGAAACAACGCGTGGGGCAAAAAATAGAGAGAAGCGTAAAAATCATAAACATGATGGGTAATCGTAATGGTTTGGCTTGGGGAGCATGGTGTGGGCACCATTGACTCCTGTATTCAATCTTTTATATGTGAGTTTCACGCCACCAGGTCGAAGGCAGCACCGTGGTAATTCCCTGCGTGTCCCCACAACATTTCGATTTTCTGGTGGTCCTTGAAGTAAAAGTGTTACACCTGCAAACTGTTATCCCATCAGCTAACCTATTTTCTTTAGGCAAAACATGCAGCTACGCTTATGTCTATAAACATTAAACACCAAAAATGTAAGCACGAGAAGCATATAGGAGATTTTGAAAAATTGTTAACACTTTAAGGATTCTTTGGCTATTGTGCGTCGCCAGTTTTTGTCTTCATACCAGGCCGGTGAGGCACCGAGGAGAATCGTGGGCCGCCCCTTGTCCTCGGTCCCTCGCCTCCCGATTTTCCACACTGCTCCTTGAAAGAGGCGAAGGCTTGGGAAAGTCATACCAGCTGAAACAATGCATTGACTAGAGGCTCACTGCAGTCCACTGCGCATCTTGTGCTCGCACACAGACCATTTGAAAATACTAAATGGGGTGCATAAAAACCCACTTATGGAATAGGCATTGGCACTGTCTTGTAAGGTAAAGGTGTCCATTTATCCTATTACCAATTAGTATCTCCGTAGATGTGTTATTTAGGGTTGCTGGTGTATTTCCAGGACTAAGAGTTAGTTTAGATAATGCGTTTTGAAAGACACGCGACAAAGCTGAGAAAACCTTACATTGCCAAAGTATTCTCGCCTGATGCGGTACACAATGCGTGTGTTAAAATGACTGAGGGTCCGGGTAAAGGAGGGGCATTTGTATTCAGTCTGTGGAGAGCGCGCATGAAAAGAGGCCAGTTTATAGTAGTGGGCCATTGATCCTTTCTTTTCGTCTGCTTTGTGACCACAAACGTGTGGGTATCAAAAGATTCCCTCCACTTCTAAAGTGAACCAACGTAGCTACTCTTCTCTTCATTCCGTTTTGACACGATAACGCAGACTTCCTGTACTATCTACTCTTCTGTGAACTAGTTGTATTAAAAGCTTTAAGTTTTCATTGCCACCTCCAGCTCAAACTGCGTTATTTACATGCTAAACTCAATTAGTAGGATAAATTCGTTTATTTTTGAATCTAAACATACTTCTAAATTCAATACATTGTCCATCGTTTAGACTAGATTAAGTGGCCCCGCCACACTGAATCACAGTTTCATGTCAAATAGACAAAAGCACGAGCATGTCGGCCTTGTGTCAGAAGACACTAATTGCGTAAAATGTACCGAAAATTTGCGGGTCACAATTCTGGTGCTATATACTGAAGCATTTAATTGGTATGAAATTTGGCCGAGGTGCTCTGGTGTAAGTGAGCTTTCTGGTGTCTTTTGTCCTCTGGATGCCACATTATCTGCCTTTTCACGCTTGGTTTTAACACAAGACCGTGCAGCGTTGATTTCAGCATGGAGTCGTGGCATCACAACAGTCGCCTGTCTTGTTATTCTGTGCCACAGAGGAGAGATTACACCGCTGATTATTCGGTATAATTCCAATTAGTGTTTGCTCTCTGAGGTCAAAAAACGGGAGCGTATACTTACTAAATGGAAGAAGGGGTTGGAGGTTTTATTAAAATAATCGCTGGTCTGCAGTGAGGGAATGCAGCCAGGCTTTAAAACAGTTTCTCTCCAACACCTTACTTCTCACAAAAGTCGTTATGTCATCAAATATCCATAAGAATAGCACAAGGAGAAACTTGTGTCCCAAGTGGACATAATAATGCAAGTGCCATTAAACGACAAGTTAAGTGTATGTTTATAAAAGGGCTCGGGCTCTCGCTCTACTTTCACTTTTCAGCCCCAGGTCATTCATTAACCCTATCGGACCTTTGTCATGGATGCCTGCCGGCGGGGACCTGACAATGCTGCTGTAATAATTGGACTATTGGGGAACTTGTTAACAACAATTAGTGAAGCAATTATGCAATTACTACAATAAACTATTTTCTTCGTAGAGGGAAAGTGAGACATTTGCAAGCCAATGGTTATACCCTAACGGTATAACAGAAGCAGAAATGCAGAGGTTATCTACATCTTCCATTTAGGCTACTTCTGAAGAAAACACTAGGCTATATGTAGATTCTAAGTATGTTTACGAATAACAATAGACAACAAATAATGCTATATTTTAGAAACATGCAAATGTATATTATTGTAATCTCACAGCGCTGGCTATGAAATAATACATTAGGCCTATCATTTTGCATTCCGATGACATATAGGCTATTTATATATTACATAACTGAATATCTTTAATTTTAGGCTGTAGGTCATTGTATTTTGCAGAAAATAATTTAAAAAAAGACCAATGTTGTAACGAATTTCGTTTGTTTCTTGTAGATGCGGGTATTTTCAGCCTATACCATGCCTGGATATCAGAACGCTGTTAAAATATGCAAACACAGGCCCATAATTTGGCGCACCGTGAGCGGAGCAAATCGATGTACCGCCTTCCATTCAGATGGACCTGAGGCAGCACTGGTGTGACCAAAACGCTCTTTGTGAGAAACAAGGTCACAATAAAAAGAGCAGGTACATGGACAGGTGCGCTGGAAAAATATTAGAAATATAGACAGGATTTTCTGAAAAGCCACGCGACGGACCTGTTGACGACGCTCTGATCAAACATCAAATAGAAATCGCATCATGAATTTCTATAGACTGGTCCTCGGGTTATTTAAAGACTTCTTACTTTGGTTTGGGAATACAATGGGCGCTGTTTGCCTGTGTGTGCCGGGGTTACTGCATGAAAAGACCAGAGGTGCACATTAACATCGCTTAAGGTTTTCTCAAGGGCCGAAATGAACTGACTGGAAAGTAACTTTATAACTCGCTGGAGGATGAAGCCTTTGTCGAGATCTGAACTGAAAGACACAAGTGCCTAACAAAAGGGGAGCGCCATTGTTAAACACTAAAGCGCATGGGTATTGATGCGCCTTGAATTGCAAAACATCTGCCATTTACTCTGAACCACTTGAGCAAGATTTCAATGAGAATAAGTAAGCATCCTTTGGCACAACAGTTATATGACCAACGTGGAAATTAAGCGTTTGATTTGAGATTAAAAGCATATCAAAAACAAACCTAAAAGGACATTATTTAGCCTTTTCTCTTTATTGCTATAAGCCCATTACTGAGTCCCACTGATGGATCGACACTATCATCTTCTTAAATTGCTTGTTTGCAATATCAGTATTTTCGCTTGTACTTGAAAAGTTATCTAGTCTAAATGTAATCAACCTCATTTTTAGTTTTGCTTTAATGGATTTATGACCGTGGAGTATAGATATAGTCCTGTTGGTGAGATCCACCTCTTTACATACAACGCCAGCCGCTGTAGATTAAACCCACAGATAGTTTTGAACAATAGCACATGGGCTAAAAGTTAACTCCAACTAATTGTCATTGCTGAAAGAGGCTGTATTGACAGTTAGTAGATAAACAGATAAAGATGGTCATTCATTTTCTCTGTTAATAATCACATCGACATTCCACAATGACAGGACCAATAATGTATTAGTGGTCATGCAAAAAAAATTCGGCCTAATTCTAAACGTGATAATTAAATGGATAATTTAAATAACTAATGGAGACTATTTTAGGTTTATGTCAATAATAATAAAATAAGACCAGAACTGTCAAAATCAGCATCCTTGGCGGGCGAGGGACCTTCAGTTTACTGATTCAAAAGAAGACAAATTTTAAGCCAAATCCCATATGGCAACCAAACGCAAACTGCCTCCACTTAAAGTGTGTTTTGTTTTTGCTGTGGGCGCAAAAGGAAGGACCAGTTGCTGGCCAAGTTTTTCCCAGGGTTTTCCCTTTATCTGACCAAAGTGGAAAATTGAAAGATACAAGTGAAAAGCCATGGGGCGTTCCTCCGATTTTCCTCGCTCCATATTTTGTAAAACAAAAATATGTGTCCCCTCAGCAGAAATGCTGCCTTCCTCGATCTGAACAAAATCACAAACTCTAAAAATAAGAAGAATCAAGACATGTTAGACATTATAAAATAAAATAAAAACGTCTCAGCACTTTATAGCAGCTCATCGTTGTAAATATTTAGACTAATTAAATGTCTAAACTATTTATCACCCTGTAACTTTAATTAGTTATTTTAATCCCTCCACAGCAGGCTACGCAAATCTTGAACTTTTAACAAGCGGATGAATACTGGTTTAAATTCTGCGTTACAACGTGTGTGGCGAATGTAACTCTGAAATTGGTATGAAATCGTCAATTTGTTGGTGTCAGCGTTCAATTCTCCAAACGTGCCATATGCCATGCTAAGTGGCACTATTTACCAATTCGTTCCTAGTTTCACGGTCCATCCTCCCCTTCTCCTTGCCAGGAAACTGAATAGCCACAACAAAATGGCAATTTACACTCTGGAATTGTCACATACC